AGTTCGCATTGCTGCCCCAGAGAGAACACCAGAATAAAGAGACCGACAAGGATTCAGGTGACTTCTCCTTTCCTTTCCGTGATTAAAAAAAAAACAAAAACAAAAAAAAACCCAGAAACATTTCTATCGGAGCGGCAGAGTGGAGAACATTGGAAGAAAAAAAAAAGTCACTGATGAGTTAAGGCTTGAAAATAAAGAAGGCCACGATCACCTGTGCTCCAGCCCCCATCCCGTTGGGTCAATGAAGAAATGACTTTCCGGACCGGACCCACCATTCTGAGATGCCATGCGCTGCAACTAATAAAATCAGGTGAGAGAAAAGGTAGGCAGCTTATTTGTGCCTCTTCGGTGCAGAGGAAACAAAGCACGCAGACAAAAGCTCTCTTCCAGCGCACAAACATGTCTAGCAGGTGATCAAATTCAACCCACACGTGAGAACAGCAAAATGGATTCTGGCCTTGCGGACCCGGCTGCTTCTGTGGGACTGCTGGCCGCTGGCTACAGCCCACACGACGACCGGCAGCCACGAAAGGCCCAAGGAGGCCGGGGGAATGAGAAGTCCAGATGCAAAAGGGGAATGAGGCACCACGCTTAGGCCACAGTCTGGGCAGGGCCCCAGGTGTGGTCATGTGTACCCCAGGGAGGGGGCAGGCGCGTCCCAATCACCCCGCACACGTCAGCCAGGTCGCGGTCGCCTTTGTGTTTCCTTCTTTGTTTATGAGCGTCGGGGATCCAAAGTCTGGAGCACAGAGTGCATCAGGCCCTGTGCTGTCACAGGCCGCGTCGGGCACACCGCTGGCTCTGGAAGGACTTAATCAGTAACTGGCCCGGGGGACTGGCAAGCTCCAACCTGACCCCACACAAGGCAAAGTTTACAGCCGGGCCAGGGGGTGAAGCTGAGCCCATCTCCGCACCAGGGGATCCAGAGAGGTCCCCCCGAGGGGTGCACCCCGCTGGAGCCGGCTACCGGGCGGGCTGGGGGCCCCCGTGTGCCTCCACCGTAGCTCCTTGCAGCTATGGTGCTAGAAGCCTTTATCTCTGACAAGGATCCAGTTAATTGGATCAGTGTAGACAGACTCCAAAGACGTTTGGGCAGGAGCGTATTTGGTTTGTTTATCGGTTTGAATCCAGATCAATCACTCTGAGTCTTGTTCCTGAAGCCCACACGGTTAACCAGATAATTACCAGTCGGATCTGAGCTGGGCTGTGCAGACGGCTTAATATATGGATGATGTACGTTTCGCAGAAGGATGTGACCTGACAGGCAACAGACTGGGTCTACCGGCAGCTTGAGGCTGGGCCAGGGGGCTCTGCAGAGCTGCACAGGGCCAGCCGCTGTCATGAACTATACTCAAATTCACCTTTGTTTCATCTGGGCTCCTACTTCTCAATAGCGTGCTTGGGCCACACTATAAAATGCAGATGGATTACATAATGCCCGGGCCTCAGGGACACCCCTTAGGGGCTGCTTTGCTTCCCGGGGGACCTGGCCACCAACCAGGTGTCTCACGATGGGACAAGGTCCCTGGTGCAGTTCCAACCCCACCTCTGCCCTGGAGGCCACCCCCACTGCTGGCCTGGCCTCAGCGGCGCCCTCCACGCTCACAGGCCCTGGCACAGACAGCCCTGCACCCTGCCGGAGCCCACCACGGCAGAACTTAAGGCCACCCCCTGCCCAGAGGGCTTGGTGGCCACGGGAGGAAGAAGGAGGACTCGCCAGCCCACTGCACACGAGCTCGTAGTTCCTCCTTCCACATTCCCAACGCCAGAGCGGGGCTCTGCTCAGACAAATCTTGTTCCGGGGATGGTCCTCACTCCCCCATCCTGAAACATCACTGCTCCTCCCCAAAGAGGCGCAAGCTACAAAGGTGCCACCCACCTCGGCTGGGGAAGGTGGTGCCGGGGCCTCTGGTTGCTTAAGAAACCAGTGCCCAGCCTCAGCCTTTGTTCCCTTCCTCTCTCTGCTATATACCTCTTGAGCAATCAGAGTAAGGGGGGGTGGAGGCCAAGCGCCTCCAAAGCTGACTTCCCCCAGACCATGGGCAGCAGCCGCTGAGCATGCGCTCCTGGCCTCTCCCACGGAGGGTCGCCCTGCCTCCCCACCACTGCCTCCCCGCCACCGACTCCCCTTCATTCTGAAGAAGTGGTGGAAAAACAATGCCTCCCCTGAGGCTGGGGGGAAATTCTGAAGCCAGATTTGGGGGCTCCTGATCCCAGGCAGGGAACTAACTACGGGAGGGCACCCGCTCCTCCCCTGAACCTAAACCACCGCGCGCTGGCGAATTTTCCGAGGCTCTCCCTCCACCAAATGAAAGGCCAAATGCCAAGGCCTGTGACTCCGGACGGGTTTAGGGACGTGCAGGAGCCTGAACCCGGGACTGACCCGCTTCACGGCAACCTGTGATCCTGTCTGAGGAAGCCGTCTTTGCAGGTACTGCACCAACCTGCCCACAGCAAAGAAAAAAAAATAGGTGTTCCCGGCACGTCGGACCCAAAATTCAGAATAAGAGTCCCCATGTGCTTCAGTGCTTTCGGGAGGGGGGAGTGGTTTCGAGGAGTAGGGCTTCTTCTGCTAACTTTCCCCCCTCCCCATTCCTTGGAGCGTGTGTCAAGGCCTGTGACACACTGCCAAGGGAACATGGGTGCCGGGGAAACGTCTACACACGCTACACGTTTGTGACATGCCATGTAAGCGACACCCTGTTTCCTGGCTGGGTTCTCCTGGCACAGGTGTGGGTAGGCATTGAATTCTGCCACCAGCACCACCCCCACCCCCACCCCCAGCACCACCCCCACTGTGCTTAGTAAACAGGATCCCGGCTGCCCCAAGGTGGGGTGTGAATTCTGGGGAAGACCTGCCACCTCTCCACACAGGATGGGATCCCCTCGGCAAGGCTCAGGCCCGAGCAGAGCTGGGGCTTTAAACTGTCTTGTTTCAAAACACAAAGCATCCTGTTCAGGCTCCGGCCGGCCGCCCCCACCCCTGCGACCCCACCACCACCTCCGCTGTCTTTCTCCACCTTGCAGATTGGATTTCAGAAACAGATCCATGACTTCCCTGCCTCTGATCCAGCTGACCCAGTCCTAGCCATGTATTTAAAACAATAACAAAATAAAACCGGCAACAAAGCACACGTATACACACACACCTCACAGACAATGCAAGACCAGCCCCCCCCCCCCCAAAGCCAGCTTCCACTCTAGAACTTGACCTCCCCTCGGTGGGGAGGGGGTAGTCCGGGACCCCTGTCCCCTCCCCCTCCACTTCCAACCTCCCAACGTGCGAATGAGATTTTTCAGAAAGGGAAGCACCCGGTTTTGCCGACCAGCCTGGGCAGGAAAAAAGACAGCAGAGCACAGAAAGGCACTGGCTTGTGGAAATTCTTTGGGTTTTGGGGTTTCGAGGTTGTTAGGTTTTCTTTCTTTCTTTCTTTCTTTTTTTTTTTTTGGTTGTTTTGTTTTCCCTTCCAGCGCAGATCCAGATGGGCCGCGGGCTTTCAGAAAGGGAACCCCCACCACCACCACCACCACCACCAGCACCAGCACCGGGGCCCAGCCCGGGTCGATCCCACGGCCCCATCCGGGAGGTCCCCCAGATGCCCAGGCTGGGGTGGGCCACATCCTGTGCAGAATTCCGAGGGTCTCCGCGAGCCCGCCCGCTGGGCACCAGCCAGCCCCGAGCGCAGGCCAGGAAGGGGTGGGGGGTGGGGGGTGGGGGGCCGGCGGGCTCCCCCCGCCCCTCCTCGACCCCCGGCGCCCCGCAGGCCCCGGGCTCCAGGTGCAGCGGCGGGCAGGGGGCGGCGGCGGGAGGGGGCGCCTCCCGGCCCCGAGGCGAGGCGCGGGGGTGCCGGCGCGCCGCCGCCGCGCAGAGCGACTCACCGTGGCGGACGCCAGGCTGTTGTCGGCCAGCGTTAGGTGGTGCGGCTCCCAGCGCCTCAGGAATTTCGAGGTGAGGATCTTGCTGAGAAAGGTCCGCGGGTGCCGGATGACACAGACCTGGATGTCGCCCTCCTGCAGCAGTTTGTACCTCATCCCGTTGCACAGCAGAAGGGCCCGGCGGCAGGGCACGGCGCCCATCTTCGTGCCCTCGGGGGCCGGCACGTCGCCCCCCAGCAGCGGCTTGGTCTCCTCGATCTGCCGGGGGTCGCCGCCGCCGCCCGAGCTGCTGGTCAGATCCATGGCCGGCCGGGCCGGGGCGGGGGCCGGGGGCGGGGAAAGGGGGCTGTCCCGGGCTGCCGGGGCGGCGGGGCCCCCGAGCGGCGGCCCGCACCCCCCCCCACCGCCCAGGAAGGTGGGGGGGCGTGGGGCTGGGGGGGCGCCCGGCAGGGGAGGGGCCGGCGGGGGGCCGGCGGGCGGGCGGGCGGGCGGGCGGCCGGCGCTCGGCGCTTCCTCGCGGCTCCGCTTCCTCCTAGCTCGTCGGGTGCATGCTCGCGGCGGCCGGAGCGGCGCGGCGGCGGGCGGCGGGCGGGGACGCGGGGCAGCGGCGGGGGCGCGGGGGCGCGCGGGCGGGCGGGCGGGCGTGTCTCGGCCCCGCCGCCCGCTCGTGTGTACAGTACGTGTGTCTGGGCGGCCGTCCGCGGGCGAGTGTGCGGCGGGGGCCGCGGGGGCCGGCTCAGTTGAGAGATTGCAGAAGCCGCTCGGCGCCCGCGCGATTGGTCCCCGCGGGGTCATGTGCCCGCCCCTCTGACGTCAATGGCGGCAACGGCGGCGGCCGCCGCGGCTTCGGCCTCTCGCAGGCGGAGTCGGCCGCCGGGCGGGGACGCTAGGGGCCGAGGCGCGGCCCGACCCGAAGGGCCGGCCCCTGGGGAGGGGGCTGCGGGGGGCTAGCCCCTCCAGGCCCCGGCCCGGCCCCGCCCGGAACGTGGGGGTGGGCGGGGGCAGCGGGGGCGGGGCGCGTGACGTCACGCCCAGCCGCGCCCCCGCCGGTGCCCAGGCTGGTGCCCCGGCCGGTGCGGAGCGGTGCGGCCCGCCGGGCCCCCACACGCCCCGCCCCCCGCCCCCAGCCTGCTCCAGCCGACCCCGATCGGAACGGTCGGCCACGCGGGACGTGTCGACGCGGGCGGCCGAGGTGCGGCCAGGTGCAAACCTAGGGACCGGGGCTGGGCTGGGCCGGGCCGCGCTGGAGGGGCGGGGGGCTGGACCGCTCGACCTCTGACACCCCCTGCACAGCTCAGGCTGTCCACCTGGCCGGCTAGATGGGGCCACAGGACAGGGATGGTTCCTCGAACTGAACATGCCCCTCAGCTATCTGGATAATGAGCCCACACTGCCCTATCTCAGCTTGCCGGACTCTGCAAGCCCCCTGGTATCTTACAGACGTCTGCCGGGCCTTGGCCTGCGGGGTCCTCAGGCCGTCTGGGGGGAGGGAACAGACTCCCCAGCCCTCCTCCTTCTGCCCCTCGAGTCTGACCCCTTGCAGGAACCTAGACAACAAATTCCCTCCCCAGAGTTACTGGGCCACTCATCTTCTGCCTGCGCCCCAGCTGTGCCCGCTTCTTCGCCTCTACGCCAGGCCATCCATCCCTGCACGGGCAGGCCCAGCACCAGGCTGTGAGGGAATCATGTTGGAAGCATCCTCGTGGAATGAACCACGGTGTCACTCGGGAGCTCTCACTCTGAGGCACAACGTCCCCTTTCTGCCATTAAGAGCGGCACCTGAAGCCACCTCAAAGGCTCAGCTTGTCAGCCAGGCTTTCTCACAGCCACATGCTTCTGCAGTTAATACCATCTAAACCCCCAGAGTTTTGCCTTTTTTGTTAAGCGAAGGTACCTCTTTAGTGAATACGTGTGTGTGTGTGTGTGTGTGTGTGTGTTGAATTGCATGGTGAATGCTGGCACTGTGCTCACAGCATCCCTGTGATGGGGATTATCCCTTCCCCACTCTCCCAAGAACAGGCTCGATGGCCGGGCTCCTGGAAAGATCCTATCCCCGAGCCCAGCCAGGGCCAGGATGGGGGCCATAGGGCCCAGCTTGTGGGATGTCAGAAGATGGACAGAGCTGTTCTCTCCTCCTGGGCCCTGGAGGAGGCAGTTACATGAGAACACGGGGAATTAGTCAGTTCCTCACAAATTGCTGGCAAATTTTGTTCTTCAAGTTCTAAACTTCGCTATGGCCTTGAGAAAATCATCGAGCAAGAAAGGGTCAAGCCCTCACCCCTACCATGTGTTACAGATGTAGATTCAGGGCACGGTTGTGACCAAAACCCCCAGACATTAAGGGGCAGGGTTTCCTGTTCAACCCTTTATTGAGCTCCTCCTGTATGCTGAGTGCTGTGCGTGCATACAGCCATTCCTTCCCATAGCAACCCCATAATACAGGTGCCATCACCATCCCCTCTGGCAGATGAGGGTGCAGAGAGGCCGGGTAACATGCCAGCCTCACTTAGCTCATCAGGCTCGAAGCTTAGAGTCCCGGACAATGTAAAGGCAATGACCACGCGGTGCTTGGGCTGCAGGAACAGACAAGGGACACCTAATCCAGCCAGACTGTGGCGCTGGGGTTCTCGTCCTGACTCCAGGAGGTCTTCAGGAATCAAGGAAAGAAGGGAAACGGTGCTGCTGGAAGAGGGGGTGACATACAAAGGCAAAGAGGTGGGTGACTATACTAAGCCTGTCCGGGAAACTACGTGCATTTGCCAAGCCATGCGAAGTGACCAGGGTTGCAGGGCAGAGGCCTAAGAGGTGAGCAGGGGCCGGGCAGGCTTTGCTGGGACCAGACTTCGCTCTGAGAGCAGTGGAGAGCCACCACCCGGACCATGCATGAGAGTGGCTCATAGACATCACCTTCATAAGGCCACTGGCCACAGTGTGACAGGGACGAGGTTTGCAGACGGGCAGCCTGGAGACAGGGAAATGAGGGAGGGGGCTGTGGAGAGTTTCAGGAGGGAGGTGGTGGAGGCCAGCATGAAGTCGTGGAGAAGGACGGCTCAGGGCAGCTGCTGTCCACTTTAGGGACAAACATGGACGCTCCTCTCCCCGTTCAAGGGTGTAAAACTCCAGCAGAATTTACCAGGGTGCACGGAATCCCTGATTCTTCCAGGACTATTCGAGACATCCTCAGCTTCTGCTTGGTATAGCGGTGGACTGGTAAAAGTTAAATGGGAATATTATGGTAAAGATGAACGGCACGCCAAATGCTGCCAGGTGCTATGCCGGGGCTTTCATGTTTATTCTCCTTCCTTCCTCCCAACAAGCCCAGAAGGCAAGAATCATTATCATCCCCATCTTAAAGGTGAGGAAGTTAAGGCTCAGAGATGAGCAGACCACTATGGGAATGCAGCCAACATGGGAACCCGAATTTCGGTTTGACCTGAAATTCCACATTTTTCCCACTCCTTCTTTGTAATGTTTTCCTGCGCAGGTCCTCAGGGAAAAACAGGTTGAATTCACTGCTGCCATCTTTAAATACCGTTTGTGGCTTAGAGTTTGAAGTCAATGACACGGAGCCCCAGGATTCTGTAAGAAGACGGCTCCAGGAGTTCTGGGCTACCAGCAGAGCTAAGTTAGTGCCTGCCCGCAGTCAGGGGGTCAACAAAAATGCAGCGATCGATCAATTGATAGTCAACACTCACCTATTCCCTGGTGCTTAGGGACGTGCAGGCAACAGGACCCGGTCTGTACACTGGGCTGTGCTGGTTCTCAGTGGGTGAGATGCAGAGCCCCTTGCCTCCCGCTGTCCCTGGCTCCTGACCTAACAATGAATGCGTCCAGCCGCCAGATTCCATTGGAAGCTCCCTCCCTGCACCCCCCGCCCCACTCCCAATCTCTGTAGGAGACACAGGCCTGTCTAGTTTCCGTGGATGGATCACACACCCAAGTCGTCCTTGATGCCACCAGGATCCAGACTCTCCAGAGAACAAGCCAGGCCCCCGAGAGTTCACCCTTCCGGCATTGAACTTGAGAGGTTTACAGAGCGGCGCAAAGGCCACAGAGGTTCACAGATCCTTCACTCTCCTTGGGCTCCCACAGCCCGGTGCACGCACCACAGGTCAAGAGCCAAACCTATCATTCCCTGCCTTCTTTGCTAGCCGTCTCCCCTTGTTTGAGCCCGTCCCGAAGGACAGCCTTCTGCTCTCACCCGCTCGCTGAAACTGCCTCTCTCACTTGAGGTCAACCACTCTGGGTTCACCCCCAGGTCTTCACCCCCAGGTCGCCCGCGTGGAGAGCCCGCTGCGTCGAGCACCGTGCTAGCAGCTGGGGTAGCAGTGGACAGGCAGTAAACTGCTCTTGTGGGCTCCCATCTCAGCTTCCGGGGGACCTGAAGCCCCCCCTTGAGCTAGGAGGGTAAAGACAGAGCTGGCTGCCCACAAAGGAATGTGACGAAATGGCAACGTCCCTGGTGGGGGAGGAGAGTACGCGGCTGATGGCCAGCCCTAGGAGGGGTCCACCTCAGCACCCTTGCCCCTTGCGGCAGACGTGCCGGCTGCCAGGTGTTCCCTTCAGGGTGGCCTCCAGCGGAGGGCCCCACCAGCCTTCACCCAGCCCCCCTCCGGCCCCACCCCACCGTGAAATGGCACACAAACCCAACGCACCGTACCCTGCAAGAGGGCAGGGTTCACTGCACTTCTGCCCATCACCGTGCCCGGTGGTTTGCTGGTAAATGTTTAACAGCCGGCTTATTGAAAGAAGAGAACGTTTCTGAGAACATCTGACGCCTCCCTGGTGTCCTCCATGGCAGCTTTCAAGCCACCCAAGTGCATCGCTGAACAAGGAGTTGGGAAGAGATGGGTCCCGCTATGGAGTGTGTCTGCCCACAGGCACGGCACACCAGGCCCCCACCGGCAGGCGATGGCCGAGGGGCCACATCCGGCCCGGGGCTGGCAGAGCATAAAACACTTCCCGTCTGGCCCTCTGACAGAAAAGGTTTGGTGACCCCGGCGATACATGTAACCTTCAGAACAGAGATACTAATGAAATGCGGTAGACTGATTAGGAAGTGAGAAGTCTGATTAACCTTTGTAAAACTATAATTTAATTGTAATTTTATATAATTTAAGTGTGCTTAATGGCTGTTTGACAGCTAACTCGAAACATTTCTGGAAAACTAGCAACCGGCGCTCACGAGCCGGGATAGGCCAGCTGCAGCCTGCCTGTGTCTTGAGGGCCTGGCCCAGAGGGGTACGTGGTGGGTATCAAGTGGCCGGAAATCCATGCCAGTATTCTAACTATTGAGCCACATTGCCCTGCCTCCTTTGTTCTGTTCCATTACACACCAATCTATGCGCACCTCCTGAGCGCCAAGGACTTTGCTAGGCAAAGCGGTTCTCTCTTATCCGTGAGGGAGGAGGGGGCACTTCCAAGACTTCCAAGTGGATGCCTGAGACCACAGGTAGTATTGACCCCCATACAGACTGTTTTTTCCCCATATATACACGCCTACGATTAAGTTTAATTTATAAATTAAGCCCTGTAAGAGATGAACAACGACAAATCACAACATAGAACAATTAGAGCAATATACTGTAAGACAAGTTATGTGAAGGCAGTCTCTCTCTCTCTCTCTAAATCTCTTACTGTATTGTACTCACCCTTCCTGTGATGATGGGAGTCGATAAAATGCCTACGCGATACGTCAGAGTGAGGCGGATGGCGTAAGCATTATGACGTGGCAGTAGGCTAAGCGGTAGGCTACCACTGGCCTGCTGACCGTAGATGAGAAGGGGCGGCTTCTGCTTCCGGATGGGGGTTCACCACGAGCAACTGAAACTGGGCACAAGGATTGCGTTCTGTGCTGCAGACCAGCTCACACGAGGTTCTGCCCTCACAGAGCTCATCGTTGAGTGTGGGAAACCAGACACCCCTCCCTTCTGACCACCCCTCTCCCCTTATTTTTCTTTAATTTTTAGTGTTTAGTTTTGAGAGAGAGAGTGGGGGGGGGGAGGGGCAGAGAGAGAGGGAGACACAGAATCCAAAGCAGGCTGCGGGCTCCGAGCTTTCAGCACAGAGCCTGATGCGGGGCTTGAGCTCACAAGCCGTGAGATCATGACCTGAGCCGAAGTTGGATGCTTTACCGACCCCAGGCGCCCCCTTCCCCTTAAAAAAAAATGCATGTCAGGAAGAAAACAGATTTCTTGCCATTCCCTTTCCCAGGCATATGGACCTCGTTGTTTTACATAGAGTGGGGTCATAACCTCTTTCCAGGTCATAGAAATTAAATGAGATCTTCGGTGTTGGGCTCACAGCCTGGCACAGAATAGGCACCGAGTCCTCAACTAAGTGGTCGCTATTTGACACGGCTACTGTCAAGTTAGAACCCGTGTTTACACGGCCCTGGTTGCCGGCTCTCTGTCTATATAGCTTGTCCAGACGGTTCCCGTTTGCCCAAGAACTGGCTCGCAGACACTCTCGGTACAGCCTCTCTGCGGGGTTTCCAGCCTCGGCCACTGTCACCATTTGGGGCTGGGGAGTCCTTCACAGCAGGCAGCTGCTGTGTGCGCTGCGAGGGATCCGCAGCAGCCCTGCCCCTATCCGGGACAACGAAAATGTCTCCGGACACCGCCACGTGTCCCCTGGAAGGCTAAATCACCTCTGGTTTCAAGGGAGATGCTTTCCCGCCCTCTCAGAGGGTGCTCGCTGCTCCCCGGGCATCCTGTGGGGTGCCGTCTGGAGGAGACGACATTGTTCACGCTCATGCAATGGCACGTGTCTCCTCAAGACGCCACTTCCTGGGGGCTGGAGCAAACACAACCAGCTTTATCAGACCGTCAAGGAACACAGGGACCCACGGGAAGGAATAAGTGGC